TCCCTTCCGACCCTAGAAACTATGAAACTATGAAACCAGTGGAATGGGATTTTAGAGTTTTGTAACTTTTAACAGCACTAATGGGAGTGTAAATCTCAGCGCGAGAAGAATGCACATCAGGGAGTACAGCGCAAGCTCCATTCTTATTTACACTAAGGTCCCCCTTACACCTCACCGGTAGTGTAAGGCTTTATTGTGGGTGTAAAAGCCATTGACACTTACTTTAAGGCACCTTTAAACCATTAGCATCAGGTAAATGATCAGACCAAATGTGCATAAGTACATAGAAAGAATCTAGGTCTGACGGGATAAAAGTGCCTAAAATAAGAAAATCCTGTTATTGCTAGTCTAGTGATTGCAATGTTCAATTTTCCCCCTGAGTAGTAATGTTACAATACAGCAAGATGTATTAATTTAACAACACATGCATAAGTTTTACATTGTAACCATCTCAAATCTGCAAGGCACTATATAAAGTAACACACTTACTGTTACAGACATTCATGTGACAAGGCCTTACAAGCGGGGAGGTAGGAGGACCACTACATAAGGATCCATTTAATTTCACACGTTGGCCCTTTGCTGTTAGCTTCTGGCAGACAAGCTTTCTTCTTTGGATGCCAACACCACAGCTCACAGAGCACTGTAAAAGGAAGGATATAGTCAGACAAAATTGCTGTGCAATTTTTCATACTTGCTAATTTTTAACTGATCTTTATTAAAAGATGCTGTTGCACAGGAATCGCTATCTTACCCAGGGCACTGAGCTCCTCTTGGAGCTCTTCATGACCTTGAGTGGTGACTTACCTAAAGTATATGGGTTTATTAGTCTCTCAGAGAGAAAACCCAAGTGTTCTCTTTGTATTGAGAGGTTCTGGCACACTCACCTTGGACCACTCTCCTATAACTATTTGAGGAGGACAATCAATTTTTGCACATGGTTTACTAGATGACAATGTAGATTCCTGGCAGACCTCATCAGACAGTTTCAGGAAGCTTCCGTCTGTCAACAACTGTTTGCAGTATATTTTGCGATTCTGAATCCCCCCTCCACAGGTACGGGAACACTAACATGAAGAAAAAAATGGGGAAAATATAAGTATTCACACATCTGTCCTCACCCATTTACACTTCTATTTAACACAGGCACTTAGAAGGTATCCCTCACAATATATTCTTGTTTCCATTTCCAAAACCAAGCAGCATATATTCCAGCTAGAACTGATTTAGTAAATGGGCCACAGGCCAGAAAAACATAACTGGTGGGATAAATGCCAGAGGACTCCAGTACAAGTAGTCAGTGGAAAGCCTGAAGAAAGATGAACGTCTTGTATATTGGCCTGGCTACGTTCACGATCAGATGCATATCTAATGGGAGCTAAGAAAGCTTGTGAAAAAGTTAAATAAAGTGATACTTCTCCATGCAGTTTACTAGACTTACAGGCTAAGTACAGAGTCAAAAAGCCCAAAGCTGAACCAATTCAATTTTTGCAGGTTGGTCTAAGCTGCATAGATTGAACAGATAAGCAAGTGAACTGACATTCACTTTTGAGTCTTGAAATGCAGCCACATGCCTGCAGTGGTTCAGACCAGAAGCCAGGGAGCATCACAGCATGCCTCCCTGATCAGCTGGAGCAGACAGTTTGAGCCAAGGCTAGCCCACCCACCATGACAGGCATTTTCAGGGGAGGTGCTGGAGGACTGTGAGTTAACTTGAATCTGGAGGGGATCTGGGACAGACATTCAATAAACTGATTTAACCTAAATCAGTTAAATCTGGTTTCCATTCAGATTTATCCATCCAGGATTATCTTAAACGGGTTTCAACCACTTTGAAAGTGGTTTACGTGCACTAAACTTCTGCTGTCTTACAGTTTATACTGGTTTATGTGTAATTTCTGTCCCTAGCCACAAAATATATAATAAGAGGCATTCTCTGGACTAAGTCTGATCTGGGTCATTCACAGTTTCTGAGATCTTAAGTAACACCTGGAATCTAATCCAAAAGTAAATTGGTCTCTACAAAGAGTAGAAAGCAGGTTCTCTGGGCTGCTTTGTTCAAATGATGTTAGTTGCGGTCGTGGTACGGTAGCTAAAGTTTTAGAGTGACCCTCAAGATTACTCCTATTAGAGCATATTAAGTAACTAACCAAAGGAAAAAATGCTTACAATTAAACCATTTCCATTATCTGTTGTACCTGTTGCCATTCTTCCACATGCCAAGAAGGGGGACAGTCAACCTGGTTACAAGCTTGTAAAGTGTGAGGCTTTTTGTCTTTACAGTCCTTATTAGCAACAGTGGCTCCCCCTGGCTGCTGGCAGTACACATCTCTTGTCTGGATCCCAACTCCACAAGTAGCAGAACACTGTCTCCAGGGACCAGTTTGCCACCTGTTCCAAACACACAGAAAAACCTGCATTCCAGTTAAACACTGCAGAAGAATATAGGGGGAAAGGGACTGGCCCCAACCAAATCTTATCCAAGCAGAACTGTGCCAACAAGAAACAGAAGTGTTATACTGTGAAGGTCAGAACATCACCTACATGTGCCATAAAGAAATATAACTACATTTATAAACCTGAAGATAAGAAGGGAATATATAAGTTATTTACAGAAAGAGCTATTCTAAGTAAATTCATGTGGCACCAGAATTTACCTCAAAAATGTCCCTCACAAGATCATCAGCCGCCAGTTGGCAACAGACCGACATTTACATCCATAAATCTGATGCAGGGACCTTGTCTGATATTTATGAATTTGTTTGTTAAATTCATATACAGTTTTATAAAACATGCTTCTCCCCATAACTTTCACTCCGTACATTTTGTAGAAGTTTTTGGAAAACATGTTATTGCAATATGTGGATCTGCTTTAGGAATATTTAAAAAGTAATTAAGACAGCTCACAAGGATTTCACAAAGAACATTTTCAAAGAATAAGATAAATAAATGATCTTGGTCTTAAACTGTCTCTGTTCTTTTTCCAGTATCTCCCTAGCTTAACAAATCATAGCAGGTAAAGAAACAAATCCAGGAATGTTATACATAAGGCTCCTAAAAGCATTCCAGAAAACAAACGTTACATTTAATCTACGAGATAGTTTCATCTGAGGTTTATTATTATTATTATTATTTCTGCAAATGAAAAGAAAATATCCTTTCCCTATAAATGAGGATGTTATTGGTTTTCATGAAAAGATAAATGTTTGTCTCCTCCAATCCCCCCAAAAGAAAAAAAATTCCCTCAAAACCAAGGCCCTGATCATACAAGCTGAGCCTTGCATGCGAAAGTCAATGTTGATTTAAGATATATTAAACCCTTTATTTTCTCCAGTGTGATTTCATTATTAGAGTGTACCTTGGAGGGCAAAGTTTCAGGTTGCATGCACGACTCATGGGTGGTGGTCGCTTGGAGATATCACAAAGGGTGTCATTGACAGCTTGCTTTGTCTGCACATGCAAACACATTGCAATGGCTTCTTGTGTCCCTGGATTTAAAAATAAGACACATGTGAGATACTCCATACTGAAGAAAATATCTGAGATATTTATAGAGTTCACTCCCAATTCTCAGCTGACTAAATTAACTCTGAATCATGTCGCAGACTTAAAATGAACATCTTGATTTGGATAAACAATGGAAATATTTTAGAAAACTCTTGAAATACAAAAGACATTTTGTTAATTCAGTGTTAGTAACAGACCAATGCTACACATTTCTGGGATTTCCTACTTACAGCAACCAGCTCTGCCCCATCTCTGAACATGGGTGCTTGCAAACATTATAAGGGATGAATTGCCATTCTGTCCCTCAGACAATAACAATAGAAAATAGGCCTGTCAAAAATTTTTCCCCCTCTCTACCATTAAGAGAAAAAGCTACTATGATCCAATGTATATTGTAGTGGATTTGAGCAGAGTGGCATGGTTGTCAAAGTTAGTTGATATTAACTGCTTTTTTCTTTAAATAGATCTGGACCTGCAGGAGCTCAGTACTTCCAAAAATAAAAAAGAATAAATAACTTTACACTCTACACATGTATACGGAGACTCTGGACCAGATCTACAGGTGCAAAAAGGTTGTATGGTAAACTACTTAATTCACCAACGGGATAATTCTTCACTGTGGTTCAATTCACCTTTGTTCCAGTTCCTTGCCACGGTTCCCTCAATCCATCGTTATCAAGTTCTGATAATCTGCCATTATTTATATTCTCCTTGGACTGGCAAATTAACCAGAGTTTACTGAAGCTCTTCTGAAGCTCAGAGATTTTACAGAAGATATACAATATGGCTTTATACACTACTGCTCTCAGATTCCCACTGAAGTCTAAATCTATTACATTTATGCTCAACCATGAATGACAAGTAATAATCAAATTGTTATTAGCCAGAAAAAACAAAGTAATATTAGCCTGGGTTAGAGAAACATGAGGCAGTGAACAGTTGTATTTGCCAATCTCATTCATGTACTGGTAACTGGGGAAATGGATGTGTAATTCAAGGACGCAGCAGTTTGTAAAATACTTACATACTTCATAAAAGACCACTCAAATGCACTCTGATATAAATGACATGTAGCTACAGTATAAAAATGACTAATATAACATGGAAGAGTTTAGCAGTCACAGTTCAGAGAATATTCTTCCTTTTAAATTATCCAGTTATCTTTCCTGCTTGGTGCAGGGGGCTGGACCCAATGATCTTTCAAGGTCCCTTCTGGCCTTACAATCTATGAAATTCATTACCCTCCTCTCCTGCAGTGATTTCATAGAGCTACACCTTTGTTTTCTGTACCAAGTTATTTTGCTTTTTTATGTTGAAAGGCTTGTTAGGTTTCAAATAAGTTTGTGTTTCTAGTGGGAATCTTAAAATATTAATTTTTTTTTCTCTTTTCTCTTTGCTACCATGAGACAACTATTAATGCCAATATTCTTGATCAAGTACATTTATACTCCATGAATGGTTTCTTGATGTTTGTTGGTTATTTAATAGTCCGTTTGATTTCAGTTGACTCCATGAAATATTCTATTGGAATGTTTTTTCCCCAAGCCTAGTGGTATCTTTTTTAGGTTCAGGTAATGAGTCTTTTTCATTCCTAGCGAGTGACACATGATTCTATAATGCACCCTCAAACATTTGCATCTGCCATCATCTCAGATTTTACACTTGGATTGCCAGTGGCTATCACAGTGGCATGAGGAAGAACAAACTGAACTGCCTCACATGCTTCAGTCAGAAAACAGATTTTTCTTCTTTATTGCATTTCATTAGCAGGCACCTAGAACACTTACTCCACTGTTATTACAGCTATGTCTCTATCAAGGTTCATACAACACATTCATAAATACTGGCTTTTTCATCATAAAGCAAAATTGTTTTCCACCTATGGAGTTATCTTGGTGCAGTCTAGCATCTTTACCCTGTCAAGACCAAGTTTGCAGTGCTTTCTTGTGATGCTACTTGCACCAGTCTAATCATTTCAAGCATAGCACAAATCAGAGATATGGAGGCAGGGGAGCAGTGTCACAGATACAGCCCACAGGCCACATGCAGTCCATGAAGCCCAATCACCTGGCCTACGGTGCTGCCAGTTGTTTTCTCACTGGACATGCATGCTACATGTGGCACATGGGGACAATCCAGGGCACGCAATGCACATAGTGCATAGGGCTGGATAAGCCTAATCCAGCCTGCAGACCAGACCCATCGCTCCACTTACTTAGCCTGCAGGGCCTGATGAGTTTGAATAACCTTGCCGTAGTAGATATATTCAGTGACCTGCATTCTAGCTTTCTTTTAAATGTTCACTGATATCCATTCTGATCCTTTTTTAGGGGCTGATGTTCATTCATGCAAGCTTTTGTTGCATAATTGTTATAACTATGCTTGAAAAGTGCTGAATATGTAAGGCACGCTATCTTTGAGGCTCTTTGAGTAAATCCAGTAAATCTTTTATTAGACCAACTCAAATAATTGGAAATATTCTTTTTTGTAAGTTCAAGGTACAAACACCCTTTGTTAGGCTGAGGAAGCAACTGCAGTTGGTCTGTGCTCTTCCTGGATGGAACAGAATAGACGCCAGAGGCCAGTATGCATGTGAGAATGCGTGTCAGTGAAAATGTAAATTGAGGCAGTCAACGGGTGAGAAATGTGGCAGGGGAGGAGAATGTAGACCTGGTGATAACAATATAGCTGATAACAGTAGAGAGGTGTGGCAGTGAGACGCCCCCACAGGCTCCCGAAGCAGAGGGGGCAGTCCCCGCAGGCCTCAAACCACACAAGAAGCCCCCCTACTGGGGAAACTCACTTCTGGGGGCACAGCCAGAGCCAGATCAGGAGCCGCGGCTGCGGCCGCACAAGCCAGCATTACGCCAGCTGTTTAATCAGCTGTTCCCCGGGCGGGGAAAAGCACAGCCAATCGCGGCGGCCAGAAAAGCTGACGCAGGAAGATTTAATAGCTCTACCTGGACCCGGGGGGAAGAAAGAGAAGGAACACGCCAGCGTGGAGCATGCCAGGCATGCTGAGGCTCTTGTGGTGGGCAGGAGCAGTGCAGCTGGCTTGGTGCTGGCATCCAGAGCAGGGGGAAGCTGAACCCCTGTAGTAGGCTGGGAGGGAAGAGGCAGTCCCACACTTCTCTCCTCTCCAGTGGTCTGTTTTGGTAAAGAGCAAATTAGAGGTGTCCTGTCCAGAGGCGGCAAGGACGACGCCAGCCTATGGGAGTCTTGTTCGTCAGCATCCGAGGTGGAGACACTAGTTGTCAGGACAGCCAGGCTAGCCCACCAAGACCCACGCCGATGCTGGTCCCCCAACAAAAGGGGTCAACTGGGCAAGGCCGAACCATGCAGGTGGCACCCATTCGGTTGGCGAGTGAACGGGGTGTAGGCGAGGCGAAGCCCCGTAGAACATCGTGCCAAGACAGTGAGTACTACCATCCCCAGGGTCCCCCAGAAAGAGGATCTCCACTGAACACCTCCCTTTCATTCAGTAACACCAAGTCATGGGAGGATCGTTGAGGAGTGGGGTCCTGTGCCAGACGGATAGTACATCACCCGACGTAAACCTCACCTAAGGCGCCTTCTATCACCTGGGCTATCAGATGTTAGACAGATTATAAGAAGTCATAAATCCAATGTCTATATTTAGTTCATGATTTTTTGTATCCAGTAGGTTGATAAAGTGAAGTTCGTAGGCTCGTCTGTGAAAGGTGTTTTGTAAATTCCCTTTGAGGATTAGAACTGAGAGATTGAAGGGAGTGGTTTTCTTGCAAAAAATGTCCCCCCACAGGTAACTGGGTATTCTTGTCTTTGATAGATTTTCAGTGTGTGCTCCTTCTGGTACATAGCTGTTGTCTGGTTTCTCCTACATATTTTCCATCCAGGTATTTGGTGCACTGGATAAGATATATTATATTTCTGTAAGTGCAGGTGTAAGATCCAGGAATCTTAAGCAGTGGGGGAAAATATTTGTGGGGGGCTGAGCTTTGCCTGACACCCGCCCCTCCCTCCTGCAGGGCTATTATGGGGTCAGTGCACACTGGTGCTGTATGCGGTGGCAGAGGAGTGGCTGCACACCGAGTGGCACCAGGTGCTGCAGGACAGTGATGCTGTCGTGCTACTGCTGTTGCCAGTCACCATGAAAGGTTTGGCAGGGCTAAGCCCCGTTAGCCCCAGCCTTCTGCCACCTATCCAAGGGATGTTGATGGTTCTGTTGTGGGGTATATTGGCAGGTTTTATATTTCTTGTCATGGCATGGTCTGGATCCATTTGGTGTGTTTTGGGCCATAGGAAGTTTGCTTCTGGTGATGAGGTTGGTGAGGTTCAGTGCTTGTTTAAAGGCTGGGATGGGTGGTTCTGGAAATATCTCTTTAAGAATCGGGTCTTCTTCTAGTGTGGTTGCAATTGTTTGAGGATTTTCTGTATAGGGAGAGGTGTTATGTTATAACTAGTGGTGTGCAATTCATGGGGGGTTTCTTTCTGTACTGCAGCAATTCTTCACATGGTATCCAGGTGGCTCTTTCAAATGTGTGATCTATCTCTCTGGAGGAATGTCCTTGATGAGTGAAAGCCCTTTTAAGATTTGTGAGGGAACAATCATGAGCATTCTCCACAGTGCAAATTCAGTGGTATTGGAGGGCTTGGCTGTATATTACAGTTTTCTTGGCCGGTTTAGGGTGACTGCCGATTCTGTGCAGATATGTATGTTGGTCCACGGGTGTCTTTTATATGGTGATCTGTCTTTTACCATTTTGGATAAGGATCATAGTATCTAGAAAGGAAATGTTGGTGCTGGCGTATTCAAGAAATAGTCTGATGGAGGGGTGATGATTGATTTCCATCACAAATTGAACAATCAGAGATTGCAGGTTTTCAGTCCAAATGATGATGTCATTGATATATCTTAAGTATAGCAAGAGTTTGATGGTGCAGTCCTTGAGGAGTTCTTCTTCCAGATGGCTCATAAAAAGGTCAGCCATTGCAGAGCCAT